GTGCTTATTTATAACACCTTAACAAATAATTTTGATTCCATGGGAAACCTTGGATGTGGAGATGCCTCTACTTTACGTTTTTTGTACCTCAAGTTGGAGAAGACTTAACATAAAAAATGTGTTTTCGATGCTTAGATGAGGCAAAGGACACAGCACAGTGCAGGTTCTGTGGGACCCTGAACCCCTAGGAATATCTCAGGTTAATTTCTGGAATTTCAGCTTTCCTTGAAAAAAACTCATCAGTTTTAACTTTGGAGATTAGGGAAAGTGTGCAAGCAGGATTCCAGTGAATAGCTCACTGAATCATAAACCACATCCAGCCTTTTAGCTTTCTAGCCAATAAGGGCAAAGGCATTGAGAAAAATAAAATAGGCACATCTAAGTAAAATGTTATTTATTTAAAATGTTTTTAGACTATCCCTTACCATAGTTTGGGATGGTTTAACAGGACAAAAAACACAGCATCCTAAGCAAATTCTAACAATAAAACCCTGATTAAAATAACAGTCAAACCTTAAAATATTGGGAAAATAAAAAGGTTTTAGTCTGGTGCCAAAAAGAATAAAGTGCCAGTGCCAGGTGAACCTCTCTGGGGAGCGTATTCCACAATCAGGGCACCACCACAGTGAAGGCCCTTCTCCGAGTAATCACCCTCCTAATCTCCTTCAAGGAGGTCTCCCAGAGAAGGGCCTCTGCCCCAGATCTTAAGGGGTGGGCAGGTACATACGGAAGGAGATGCTCCTTCAGGTAACCAGCTCCTAGGCCATTTAGGGCTATATAAGTCATCATCAGCATCTTAAATTGGGCCCAGACTTCAACTGGTAGCCAGGGTAGGTGATAAAGGACTGGCATTATATGTTCACACCTGCCAGTTCCTGTTAACAACCTGGCACTTCTATTCTGAACCAAATGAAATATCCGGACCTTCTTGAAGGGCAGCTCCACATGGAGCATGTTACAGTAGTCCAATTGGGAAGTTACCAGTGCATGGATCACCGTTGCCAGGAATTCCTCATCCAGATAGGGGTGCAGTTGATAAATTAGCCAAAGCTGAAGAAACGCGCTCCTCACCACAGCCATCACCTGGGAATCCAGGGACAGTTCTGATTCAAGGAGCACTCCCAAACTGCACACCCTGTTCTTCAGGGGGAGTGCAACCCATCCAGAACAGGGCTGGAAACACCAACTCAGGAGGCTAAACCTCTTACCAACAAGACCTCCGTCTTGTCTGGATTAAGCTTCAATTTACTGGCCCTCATCCTGTCCATCACCCCAGCCAGGCACCAGTTCAGGACATCCACTGCCTCACCTGGATTAGATGTAAAAGAGAGGTAGAGCTGGGTGTCATCAGTGTACTGATGATTCTGCAGTCCATACCTCTTGATGACCTCTGCAAGCTGTTTCATGTTGATGTTAAAAAGCATGGGAGATAAAATGAAACCCTGTGGAACTCCATGGCAAAGCTGCCATGGTACAAAGCAATATCCCCCAGCATCAACTTCTGGAATCAGTTTGTCAAGTAGGAGCAGAACCACTGCAAAGCAGTGTCTCCGACCCCCAACCTGGTCAGCCTATCCAGAAGGATATCATGGTCAATGGTATCGAATACCACGGAGAGGTCCAGGAGAACCAACAGGGATACACTCCCCCTGTCCCTCTCCCTGCGCAGGTCATCATACAGGGCAACCAAGGCAGTTTCCGTCCCATAACCAGGCCAGAAACCAGACTGAAATGGATGCAGATGATCAGTTTTCTCTAAGAGAGCTTGGAGTTGCCTGGCCACCACCCGCTCAAGTACCTTAACCAAGAATGGGATGTTAGCCACTGGTCTATAATTGCTGGCCATCTCTGGGTCCAGGTTCACCCTCTTTAGGATGGACCTGATCACTGCCTCATTCAAGGAGGCAGGAACCTGACCCTCCCTCAGAAAGATATTAACTACTTCCCAGACCCAGGTATACATCCTGTCCTTGGCTTTGATGAGTAGCCATGAAGGACAAGGGTCAAGTAAATAAGTGGTAGGCTGGACAAGTCCAAGCACCTTGTCCACATTCTCAGGCTGCAACAACTGAAACTCATCCAATAAAGATAGACCAGACAGCTCTCTGGACACCTGTTCAGGTACTACATCAATCGTAGAGTCCTGCTCGTGACAAATCTGAGTGATTTTATCCCTAAAGTGCTGGGCAAAGTCATCACAGTGAGCCACAAATGGTGCGATAAAGTCATTTTTTGGCCCAGAATTTAACAAACCTTGCACTACCTGGAAAAACTCAGCTGGATGGCACTGTGAGGATGCAATGAAAGCAGAGAGGAATTCCTTCTTTGCCGCCCTCACCACCACAGCATAGGCTTGAGAGGGAGCTCTCAGTTGTGTTTGGTCAGATTCAGCATGAAATTTCCTCCACCTATGCTCTAGACATCTCCCAGTCTGCTTCACTGCCCACAACTCAGATGTATACCAAGGAGCCTTGTGGGCTCTCCTTGACGGAAGAGGATATTTAGGAGTGATCATGTCAATTGCCCGGGTCAATTCTCCATTCCACAGATCAACCAGGATGTTAAATAGGTTAAACAGGATTTCAACCAATTGTAAAAATATTATTCTATATGTCAGGCTCTAGTTTTCCTAGTTTCTATACGTCAGGCTCTAGTTTTCATTGAGTCACCTGTCCTCATACCATATTGCTCCAATACCCTTAAAATTCCTCAGCATAAAGGTTGGGGAGGTTGCAAACATTTGAACCAACACCAAGCTAAACTCTGTTCATTGGCTAAATGTGTATGTCAATAGAACAAAAATAGCAATAGCAAACCACTGTACATGAATAAATTCACAACACTATGCACACACTATCCAAACACATTCTATTTCTGTTCCACAAAAGAAACAGGACAATTGGATGACACATTTTTCATCCTAGAGGAAAATGAAGAAGAAAGAGCTGTGGATGTTAGTGTGCAGGTGTAGTCCTTTATTTGGGGTGAATGGGGCAATCACTCCGGTACTTTGGAACAGATATTCACCTCCCCACATAACCAGATACATTCGCTTGAGTGCACAGTTAGCAGCTTCCAAGCACCATGCATGTTCTTCACCTGTCCTCCTCTGTAGAATATTGAGCATGTGCCCTGCTGCCCCCCCCCCAGACAACCCCAGTTGCTGCTGCTAGTGAGGCACTGTTAGCCCTTTAAAGAAACATTAAATTGGGAACTTTCAAGTTGGTTACATAGCTCCGTTGGCAAAAAAATAGGACTAGTTCGTATGAAGGGAAAGTTTGTGTATAGGCTCTGTCAGTTTAGACTGCTGTTACATGAGGGCTCACAGAAGTGAATATTCTAATAACAATAGTAGATAGTTTATATGGAAAATCCCAGAACCGTACAAGTCCTCCATGCTCCTGCAGTTTGAAGTAGTATAACTGAAACACAGGTTTACTATATTCTATGTACCAAAGTGTATTAAAAGAATTACCAAGTAATGTGCTTGTGTCTCCTTTGATATAGGAAGGTAGTTTCAACAGTAATTCTTCATGTTCTACAGAGCTTCAGGAACTATCCTTTGCCCTATAACTTCTTACCAGCTCAGTACAGATTTGGACTAAAATTCAGCATAAAATATTTCTCTGCAACCATAAGTTTCACAATGTTCTTGCTTTTGTAATTAATGAAAACATGAACTATTACTAGCAGCTGACAGAATGCTAGTCTTCCTAGTCTTACAGATCACCACTTTTTAAAACAAAGGATTACATTTTTGCACCTCCCCTAGGACTTCAATTACTAGATGATTCACTTCATAAAGCTTTTTAAAAAATGTTAGTTTGCTTTTCCACAGCAGCATACTTTAAGTATTAACAACAGTTAAATATATTGATCTAACTGTTGTGTACATTAGTAACAGAAAATGGAAGGGTAGATTATCTAGTGCCCTTTGTTCTGGAATACATTTCTTACTCTGTCAGGCTCAGAGACTCACAGTATGTGACTCCCAGGGTAACACAGATTAGTTTCCCTTAACGAAGTTAACTTCACTTTTTAAAGTTCTATAATAACTTGTGACCTGCTTTTTAGGGGGTTTTAGCTTGACAAACCAAGCATAAATCTAATAAGTATTATTATGAATAATATTCATAATCAGGCTTTAACATATAGAATATAATCACCTATATGCTATAGTAATTAATTTGGAATTCAAACATAATCCCCTCGTTCTATACTTAACATCATAAACATGGAAGAAAATCATACTTTTAGCCATCTTAAAGCAAATTAAGGAGAAAGCAACCCACGTGAAATGATATTGAGTCAGACAGTAAAGACTAGTAAAGGGGAATATTCCCCTTTACATCCTCAATTTACCATTCTGTGAGGAGCAAGGCCAGCAATCTGTTTTGATAAGGTGATTCTAGGTTAATCAGAGCAGAGTAAATGGGTTACAATGTGTCCTTTGAGGTTTTTGAAAAAGGAGAAAGGAAACAAAAAAGGAATGCACCTTTTTCAAAGAAGGGGTTTCAGTATAGTAGCCTTATAAACAGAATAGAATAACTAAAGACTAACTAAATAACTTCTTCAGAGCTCAAGAATTAAAGCTGTTCTTCTTAATTAGCGTGAAGTTTCCAGGGTTGAGAGAAATAATTTCTGACAGAAACTTAAAGGCAGGGCTTAGGAATACCTCATTTTCAAGGCAAGCTGGAACTCGCTTGCCACAGGAAGAGGCGAGCGGCCAAGGGGGCAGCACCTTTGCCATGACCCGAGGAAACATGAAAGCGCCGAGGCGCTCATTTCGCGCGACTCCGCCTGGGAGGTCAAGGCGGGGCGCACAAGTTGTGTTGTGTTGTGCCCTGCCCTGCCCTGCCCCACCTCGCCTGCCAAGCCCACCTCCCGGGACAGAAGACGCCAGCAAGACGGGCAGCGCCACGGGCGACAGCGCCCACGAAGGCAATGTCACCCGACAGGACAGCCCTCCCGCCCGGCCGCCGGCCCTCGCCGTCACCCACCGGGCGTCCCGCGTCTCCAGAGGAGCCTCGCGCGGAGGCAGCAGGAGCTGTCGCCGCCGGGCTTGGCAACGTCCGCATCTTCCATGTCGTGCACCTGACCACGGCCGGGCTGCCGCGGCTGCTCTCGAGCACCTTCGTCGCCCTCCTGGGCTCCTGGCGGCTCCTGTTCCAGCTCCCATCGCCCCTCCGCTTCTTCAGTCGCGACAACGGCGGAATCAGCGGCGCTCTGATTCCGCAGCATGAGGAGGACTCGCTCGCTCGCCGTTTCCCTCGAACTGCTCGGTCGGGCAAGAAAGCCGGCAACTTCCTTGCGCATGCGCGATGTTGCCAGCCCTGGCACCTCCCCTTGCCGGCCGGCCTCTGTCCCTCGGATGAGGTGGTCTGTCCTTCCCCAGAGGCTGCTGCCCCGGCGTGCTCGGCGCTCCTATAGGAGCGGGAGACCAGAAAGACTTCTTGAGGGTTCGGGTTTCCCCTCTCCCTCCGTGGTCCCAGACGAGGAATCGCCCGCGCCTCCTCTTTGAGATTCTCTGGGAACTGCAGCTGTTCCGTGGAGGAAAATGCACAAGTTGTAGCGGAAAAAAAGTATTGCAGTCGAAGGAAGCTGCTAAAATGTTCCATGTGGGTGGCACCGGCTAGCCAAGAGTTGTGAAGCAGCACATCCTCCAATTTAAAACTCACTTCTGCCTTAAACTCTCTAGGTGGCTCCCTAAATAGGGCGTTAATACCGGCGTTGATAATACTGCCTTACCTCGAAGGATCCTCAGACAGCATAGTGCAAAGGTGTAGTGGAGGGAGCCCCTGGGGGAATTGGAGCGCCCCCACTTCTTTTGGAAGGGGCCTTCAGCTAGGATTCCTGAAGCCAAGGTCACTGCCCCTCCCCCACCACCTCTCAAGAGACACAGTTTTGCTGGTTTGTGGCTGGCAGCTGCCACTGTATCAGTGTCCTGAATTTAATGGGTTGAGGACGGGTGTTTTTTGACAATTCCCAACAATTCCTGGGAATTTCCTATCTGGAGAGGCCTGCCAGGCATGCACATGTGTTTTCTGTGGCACTTTAGCCCATGGTCAGTCTCTGTTCCTCTGCAACATGTGATGAGCTTGCCTTTTTTGCTCCAAAAACTACCTTGCATCCTCCTTGCATTCACACCACACATTTAGAACACCTTCATTCCACTCTAAACAGTCACTACTTGCCGAAACAATCTTGGGGATCATAGTTTGCCAAGGGTACTGAGTGTCATTAGTGAACCCTCCTCTCGCCTCTTCCTCACACAGGCTCAGTTTCCAGAGTAATGCGAAGAGGGATTGACTGAGAAAGCATTCTGCAAATAGTAGCTCTGTGAGGCCAACAGGTGTTTTCTAGCAACGCTTAGCCCTGGAATTATCGGGGAGAAATAATGGCTGAAATAGAATAAAACTATCATAACTGGAGTATATTTACTGGAGTCAGTGGGAAAAAATAGCCATGAATTCTGATAGCATTAAGTTTCTCTTACTTCAGCTAGGCTACTTTACATGCAATTCATCCTGGATCCAATGAGAGCACAATGAATGATTGTTGGCTATTTGGAGAAACTGGCTCCCCCAAACTCTGGACTAATTGAGGATCTCCCACAAATATGCACACAAAAGCAGAGGCTACAAAAATTAAAGAAACCAAACAGTGATTATCAGTCCAGGCTGCTTCTCTGGGGAGAATATAAGTACATACAGAAACAGTGAGTCAGAAGGGTTCTCCCAGGCCATCTAGTCTGACCCCTGGCTCCAGCCGGCTCCGCTCATGGCATGCCTACCATATGTCTCTGTAAGTGTGGATAATTAGTGCCAGAGTTTCCTTTATTCCTCTTTCCTCCTTATCCCTTTCCTCTTCTATGTCATGTTTTTAGATACTAAGCCCATGGACAGCAACTGCTTTATTACTTTCACATAAGTCACTCCAGGAGCTTTTTGGCTGGAGAGTGGGGCTTTAATGTAAATAAAAAATCATTTATTCATAATCAATAAGATAATAAGAAACAACTTCTAGAAGCTTTCATTGTTTCACCTTCATCTTGCATTCATTAGCAGAAATTCAAACAAAGTGACAAAGCCCATTTTTACTGTATATTCATAGATTGCATAATCTTGGAAATAGGTGTGGCTTGTGAGATGTGTCTTTGATGGAAGTGTGGCTTTGAGACATGAAGGGACACCCTACAATTAAATTTGCCACTACACTACTTAATGTATATGAAGCCCTCTGGAATATTTCAATGTGCTATATATCATTTTTAATATTTAGTTATTATTTGCAGCATTTTTACCCAGCTCTTCAATAAAATAAATAAATTAAGGCTCCCAGAGCAACTTACAAAGTCTCTGCCTTCAGGCTTGCAATATAAAAGACACAACACAAAAGGAAAAGAAATTGGGAAAGAGGAAGGGATAAAAAAATCAACCAAACAAAATTCAAGCAGCAATTTTTATTTCCAAATTTCTTACAAATGTTTTTTTTTCTGTTGGGGAGGAACAAAACAAATGCCTGAGACCATATTCCAAAAAGGTGCTTTGGTGTGCTGGTAAGAGTGCAGGACTGCGCCTCAAGAGATCTGGGTCCTAGTTCCCACTCAGGCATGGAGCCCACTGGGTGTCTTTGGGCAAAGTATAGACTTTCAGCTGAACATACCTCAGAGGGTTGTTGTTGTGAGGATAAGAGAGGAGGAGGAGACTTATGTAAGCTGGCTTGAATTCCTTGATAAATAATTATTTGATTTTTCCTCAAAAGCACTCAAGGTGAATAACAGTAATAAAACCAAAATAAACTTATTTAAAACAAGTATTATAGCAAAAAGATTAGAAATACAATTAAAAACATAGTAAAGCAGATGCATGTGTGACAGGTCCACAAAAACTTCCCAACTCAGAGGCTTATGAACATCCAATGGCATGAATGAGACATGATGCTCCCCTACCTCATGCCCTGCATTTTCTTTAGATGGTTGTTTTTGACCATCTAGATTTAGCTCTGGGTTGGGGAAGAATGAAGGCTGGGGTACCTGTTAGAATCAGAATAATTCTGTGGTTGCAGCATCCTCCTCTCTCCACCTCCAGGCATGCTTCCTTTCCCCCACTGAGGCCAACTTGCAATGCAGAACGAAGGGGAGTAACCAGTGTGGTTCTTTCTATACTCACTGCAAGTAGTCAGGGCAGGGGCTCAGCCTACATAGTCCTGGCTCCAAGACTGGGTACAGGATTCTGAAGAATCCTAGGCAATCTTGGGAGGCTCTAAGATTTCACCTAAAAGAAATATGAAACAGTGCCCAACCCAATAGAAAGAACATGTTTCCACAACAGCTTATATATACCTGCTTGAATAAAAATGACTTTGCTTGCTGGCAGAAAAGCAGTCCAGACGGAGCCAACCCAGCATCTTGCAGCGGGGAATTCCAGCTACCAAGAACAGTCTCTTTCATGTCCTCACCAAATGTGCCTCTGCTGATGCCAGAACTTAGAGAAGGGCCTCCCTGGAAGATCCTAAAATCTCAGCAGGAACATATAGGAGAATGCAGTCTTTGGACATATGTTGAAAGGGCTTGAGCATGCACAGTGATATACCACTTAACTTTGGAAAGCAGTTAATTCTTGAAACTGTTAAGAACACTCTTCTTTCCTTCGGAAGAGAAAAATATTCCAAGCATGGAGAGAGTTCTTTTTGAAACTTTATTGCAACAAAGGGAAGAAGATGGACTCCTTCCCATCTTCCAGTTCGACTCAGCACATCTTCACATCCCATTTTTTGCCCTGTCCCCAGCCGCTTTTCCCTCCTGCTTTCCCCTCATTGGCTAGGGTCCCAGGAGTTTACAATCCTTCCGCCCTCCTACTCCGCACTGCTCCAATACTGGCCCTTCTTTTCCACTTCAGCCCTCCCTGGTGTGCTACAATAGGCCCATTTTGTCCTGCCAAGCTTGTCAATTAACAATCAGGAAGTCATAGAGCCAGTATTCACCATTTTGTCTACGTGCCGGTTTTCTCGCACTCTGTACGCCCCCCGCCTCCCTTTAGGCTAAGGAATTTTCTTTGTTACTTTTCTTTTTATTCTTCATACTTCCTTGTTTCAAATAATCCTTCCATACCTATCAAAACATATCTAAGGGTCTGCTCTCACATTATAGGCCTTATGTGGGTGCTGATGGAACTGTTTCTGCCCAGCCATGTTCCTGTGCAGGAGCTTGAACATGTATGAGAGATGCTTACCACATATCACTCAGACATGTGTGAGTGATTCTTCATGCCTCCACCAGTCATCATCAGGAATATGCTGCAATGGAACAGAGTAGGCCATGTGGCAAACGGCTTTCATGTGTAACCACCCCCATACACATGCAAAGGCCTTACTGAGTCCTACTATTCTGATACATGTGACTGTCCATTTGTGATGTAAGTTACCCCAGTTTGCAACACAAAATAAAAAAGTTGAAAGAAAAAACTTCCAAATGTCATGTGCTCTAATCTGGTTACTGGGGATGCAAATGTTTCTGTTAAGGAACAGGAACCTAACAGAACACGATACTGTTTGCTAAATAATAGATCTAACTGCTCAATAATGAGTGTACATAGTGTTGGAATTGTCCTAATAAAAGTTATAAGTTTTATACTTGGGAATATAGAAAGCTTTGCCGGTCTCCCTTCACCCCCTCCCACAACCAGCAGGGGTTTCCCCATTCAGAATTCTAGAAAAGGAGACCAGCCCAGGACATGCAAATAGTTGTTGTTAGTCGTGAAGTTGTGTCCGACCCATCGCGACCCCACGGACAACATTCCTCCAGGCCCTCCTGTCCTCTACCATCTCCCAGAGTCCACCCAAGCTCACACCAACTGCCTCAGTGACTCCATTTAGCCACCTCATCCTCTGCCACACCCTTCTTCTTTTGCCATCTATTGTTCCCAGCATTAGGCTCTTCTCCAGGGAAGGCTCTTCCTTCTCATTAGGTGGCCAAAGTATCTGAGTTTCATCTTCAGGATCTGGTCTTCTAAAGAGCAGTCAGGGTTGATCTCTAGGACTGACCAGTTTGATCGCCTTGCAGTCCAAGGGACTCACAGGAGTCTCCTCCAGCTCCACAATTCAAAGGCCTCAATCATTCAGCGCTCAGCCTTCCTTATGGTCCAACTTTCACAGTCATACATTGCAACTGGGAAAACCATAGCCTTGACTATACGCACTTTTGTTGGCAGGGTGATGTCTCTGCTTTTTAGTATGCTGTCTAGATTTGCCATAGCTTTCCTCCCCAGGAGCAAGCAACTTTTAATTTCTTGGCTGCAGTCCCCATCTGTGGTGAT